GGATCAAAGTACCTACTCCCAGCTGGCTCTGAACCTTAGTTCTTTCCACAGCAAAGGGCAGTAGAGGTGACAGCTCAATGACTGACCTGATTTCAAATGTGAGCAATATCCCCGAGGAGAGTTTCACTCAAGGACTGATGTGTTACCCTATCAGAAAGACTAGGTGAGGGCCGGGGATTTGGCTCAGTGGTTCTGCCGCCTGCCTTGCAAGAGTAAGGGTGGCTCACATTCGATTCCTGGTAACAAAACAAAAACAAAAACAAAATAATGCTGGGAGAGAGACAGTCTTAGGAGACAGATTTAAAAAGGGCAAGGGCTAGATATAGATATCCTGAGAAACTCATGCTCAGGCTAAGAAAATGATTTGATCTTCATTCTGTGGTGTGAGGCCAGATTTAGTGTTGGTAACCATCAGAGAGGGGTGGATCTGAGGGTAATGGAGTGCGTTCCAGTGGTTTGCTTGAGCTCCTGCACTGCTGCTTATATCCAGTGGTCTGATTTACTGTAGGTTGATATATGCATTACCTTCGTGTCTATACTAAAATTAAAGTATAATCAAACCTATGATTTGGTTAAAGATGATTCATGAGTGGCTCTTAATGAGTGGTTTTCCTGTATCCAGTTTATATTTGATGCTATCGTTGTTGCTGATTTTATTACTATATCCAAGATGACATGGTTGTTCTGTCAATTGGTTTGTGTTATATGCCAATATCTGGATTGCACAGGGGTCACAAATACTGGAGTCCATTCTCAAAGAACCAGGTACTGGGTTAAATAAATTACAGCCTCCCCTCCCAAATAATAAAAGTAGCTGGGTTCTGAGGCAGAAGCAAAGTTCAATAGCCACATCCAGAGGATATCTCTGAAACAAAACTACCCACTATAATTAGCCAGCAAACCCAGTAACAGAAAAAGAAAAAGAAAGAAACATGAGGAAAAAAGCAAACAAAATGATTTAAAAACTTCCAACTCCCTCAGCGGGCTTTGAGGGAGAGGAAATCAAAAGCCACACTGCAGAAAAATCTGAAAGAATATTAGCAACAATGGAGATAACAAAACAGATCAAGGTGCTTGGTGAATTTGAAGAAAATATAACTAAACAAATAATGATCCAGATGAAACAAATATCAGTGAGTCTAGACAATAAACTAATAAAAGTCTAGGGGAGCCAAGGAAAGGATGCAAAGCATAAATTCCAAGCATAGAAACAATGGGAATCTATATAAAAGTTTCAGGAAGTCCAGACGATTAAAAATATGATTGAAATAAAGGGCAGTAGAAGTGACTGATATGAGGACAGTGGCAGATCTGGAAGACAAGGTTGTGTTTAGTGATCAGTTAATGAAAAACTCTTTAAAAACAAGAGAACATGGGAAACAAATCCAATAGTCGCTAGATCACACAAAGACTAAGACAGAGTGGAATTAGTGGGAAAATGAGAAGACAGAAAAAAGGGCATTAAAAAAACATGTATGTTTACACAATAGAGTACTACTGCGCCATCAAGAAAGATAAACAGGCATCTGTAGGTAAATAGATAAAACTTGAGGCATAATATTAAGTGAAATAAGTCAGGCATACATGCTTAAATGCCGCAGGGTTTCTTATATGAGAAACTAAAAAATATAAAGAGAAAAATAGGAGATAAATAGAAAGTAGATCTTCACAAAATATATGGGGGATCCTGTCTTTCTTGGTGATGGGAACAGCATTTAATTTTACTGGGTGATCCTCTATCCATGTCATCAGTAACATTTCAGACTGCCAGCACCAGCCTTATCTGTGTAGCTCAACAGAATGAGTCTGACATACAACTCCACCTTTGAGCATTGGTAAAGGTTAATATCAAAGTGTTTGAATTCCAGAAAGCTACTCATCTATAAGGATAAAAGAATACTTGCTAGTCTTTCCTGATGGTGTCAAGTGAGCTTTCTTACCTGTGGCTACCAACACAGGGCCTCTTACTGGAAGCAAACTTTGGTAACTAAGAGTCATCCACAGGGGCCTTTTGTCTTGTGGATGAAATCATCATTTTGCTTCAACAGCTACTGATTTCCTTAAAAACTGTGTACAAGAGCTTGTGGACAGAGAGAACAAAATTTGAATATATGTTCCATTAGATTTAAAGGGCTTGGACTTTGTTTTACAGCTTACCAGAGAATAACAAATCTAGTTCTATTCAGGTGATTTAATTCACATCTCATTAACTAAGTTGGCAAAATTCAACATTAGCCTTCAAAGGCTAATTTGATTAAAGAACTGGTGGACATTACTTTTCTCAGAATAATCAAGTTAATTTTAATGGAAGTAATAATGTCTCCCTGGCAGGTTATTGTGAAAATCAAATAACTAGTTAGAATACTGTCGATGTTTTATAAATTATAAAGTGTCAAACAAATATGTGATTTTTGGAGGCTTTCTTTGTTGCAGTCTTCTGGATTCTACCTTTTTTTCCCCCTGCATCTTCCTCAAAGGTCTTACTTGACAAGCTTGAGGGGAAATCTTTAACACCTGGCCTAAAATCACTTGTTTTTAATTTATAATTTAATTAAAAAAATATTTAGAACCTTACCATGGGATAGTAATTGTTACACAAATGTACACATTTACAACAAAGGCCTACCACTGTACACTGATTTGGAAATATCTGGCTGAATATCATGCTAAAAAGAGCTAGGATATAATTGCCTGAAGTCTTTTATAAAAGGGCCATCAAGCATATTTAGCCTTGAAAATCAAACATGATTTGTATTTTATTGTGACTAAGGAATTGTCTTATCAGTTAGTTACCTGGATTGCTGTAGACATCTTTCTCAAATAAATTGCTACATATGTAATCCACAAGTGAGTTAGGATTTTTTAACTCAGATACATCTAACTTAAGGGAGGCAGAAGACTTCACATATGTCACACAGACATGGATTCAGGTCACATTATATTTATTGGTATTTATGCTTACACCTAGTTTGATATTCAGCATACCCTTCAATGGAAGGCATTACAGACACTGAGAATTAAAAGGACAGGATCAATGGACAATTTTGCTCCAAGATAATATTATGGTACAGACCTTTAAAGATCCATAATTCTTTTTACAATCAAATGTATTAATTACATCTTTTAGAACTACATTTGAAAACAGTACTCTACCCATTTAAAAAAAACTGGAAAAAATTTAATAAATTCAAGACCATACAAGAAAAGGGAACTTAGTGTCAAAAAAATCCCATCCATTGATTATTTGCCTGTGCTTCCAATGGGACAATAATCAAACTTGTGAATACACTGAAATTGCAGAAGAAAGAAATCCTCCACCAACCTTTCTACCCACTGGTAACACCCAGAAATGTTCTTATATATGTTCTCCAGGCCCAGGCAAAAGCAATTTTCTTCATACAATGTATAACTTTTGTAGGAGGCTAGACTCCTTTTAGAACAGAAAGTTACAAAAGCTGTATATTTTCCTTCTGTGGTTGCAGGTGACAAAAACCCAGTTCAAGCAAAAGAAAATTTGTGAGCTCATGTACAGGCACTGTCGGAAGGAAGTTTCCAGTAGACATACCCAGAAGCAGGAGCCTAAGTAACACAGTGTTGCACTCTCCCTACAGCTCTGTGTATTTTTGTTTCTGTTTCTTTCCAAACGGAGCTCAGTTGGTGTGTGTGTGTGTGTGTGTGTGTGTGTAGTGTGTGTGCAGGCACGTGTGTGTGCACATGCATTTGTATAGTGGGGAAAGTAGGTGTTGGTATCAGACTCATATTCTTATGGCTCTGTGACCAGAGAGGAATAACAAAATTGACTTGTCTCTTGTCTCCATTTTTCAAATGTGAGAGAAATAGCGTGGTACATTCCACATAATGTACCGACCCTGGGTACATTTCCCTGTAGATCCTGGGAAACTGCCACCCCTCTGGCCAGAGAAGGGGTCTATTACTAGAGAGGAAACATGGATGCTGGTCAGATTAGCAGGAAACAATTTCAAAATGTACCATAACAAGCCACTGGGAAATTAATTTGTTTCATAAAGAAAAACAGTAGATAAAAGCCAAAAATATTAACATATGAAGGCTTAATCAACTTTAACGGATGTGTGACTGGTTTTTTATAAGGAGCAAGGTACAGAATTCATTTAGATAATGTTTTGTTTGTTCTTTCTAGAAAGATAATATCTTTTCTTTGGTAAGATAAAAAGAAAAGCAACAACCTGATTAGAAGTGGTAAAGTGTACTGACTTTATTGTTGGCTAGTCTAACAATCTCTGTTGCATTGTTTCCATGTTAAATCACACCACTCCCAAGGGAGAAAAAGTACCAGGAACGCACTGATCTCTATCAATTGAATCTTTATTGTATTTCTTAATGCATTTGTTTACATCTCAGCACAATTTCATCATGAATATTAAGTTATTAACTTGGATTTTGCCAATGTTTAGAATATTCTCGGAATCACATGTTAAAGTAACAACTGGAATGATAAGAAAGTAACTTTGAACATACAACAATCAAAACATTTTTTTCAAATTATAACTCTAATATAGATATATTACTCTCATGTACCATGTACATAGCAATAAATTTTTTTTCTTTTTTCTTTTTTTACTAGTACTGGGAGCATGTATTTTCAACCATGTAGCTAGCCAGAAAAGCTATTTTATATATAGGGTGTGGTACTCATAAAAAGCCTCTTTTCCCTTGAATATTATACATGACTATAGCTATACTTGAAGAGGAATGAGTTTCAATCACAACTATCATCTAAAATAAGCACACATTCCTATACTGAATGCCAAGATAATGTTATATTATTACATTGTAGTATGCCTACTTTTGTCCAAAGACCATCTGGCCAGTGTGCCTTCAGAGGGCTTACACTTTCTCTTATTTGATACCCAAGATGGTTCTGAAGTGCTCCCCTGCCCCAATAACTGTCTGGCGTTGAGGATATCCTAGAGAAAACACTTCTTACAAATCTAAGCCACCAAATCCAGTACCGACACTAAAAGTTCACCGATTCTTCAAATCCAGGTCTTGCCCATCATTATTTCCTCTACCTAGATAAGGCTAAATTAGAAGTACTTCAGGAAATAAGTAGCCTAGGCAAAAGCACAAAACAAAACAAACCTCAAAAACACTATTCCGTAGAAAGTCCTTCAATATTTAGAATTTTTCTGAATAGAAATGCGAGCCTAAAAATTAAGTATCTGTTATTTTTATATCTGTGAACTCTGCTGTCATTGTGACTAAGGACTAATGATAAATTAATTATTCACAGACCTTCTGTGAGTAATTAACAAGTGAGCACAAGTAGACCGCTGGACCTCAGCAACAGTGAAAGAATCTTAAGGATCTTTCTGGATCTAAAGAAATACTATATTGTTTTAAAATCTGAAAACTATTCAAGTTGGTTAGGTTTCCAGCCCCCTTCTTATATTTAACTTAGATTTTGGTGAAGCACAAATAGATGGTTGGATAAAGGCAACTTTTTGGTGAGATTTTAGCACCAATCCAGCCTATCCCGTCTTGTTTCTTTCACAAACCAGTTACCTTTCTACCCAGAGACACTTCTGCTTGTCTTCTTGGGTTTCTATTTAGCTACAAAAAGAATGGGAGGAGGGGGATAACCTAGGGAGATAAGAAGCAATCACAAAATCAGAGCCTCTAAAAAAAAAAAATCAGAAAAGGTTGAAGGTTAATCATTAAGAGATCCTTCCTCCTAATAAAAAATTCATATACAGGTTATTTTTCTTTTAGGACTATTAAGTCATAATTCAGTGAAACTCCTGCTAGGGCCCACCTTAGTGGATACTGCATATAATTTAGCATACACACCATACAAAATAAAGGTAAGAGTATATCCATTTGAGCACCAATGGTAAGGACAACCTTCTCAGCACTTAGGAAACAAGGTAAGCATAAATACTTTTCTTTTGTTTTCATTAAAATGTCATAACATGCTTGAGAGAACAAAGTCTATGTAGTTGTACAAGTTCCGAAACACTAAAAGAAAATGTATCAAAAACATCTTGTTAAATATATAATTGTGATCCTGATGTCCTTTCAATTAAATCCTATGTTTTAAATGAAAAACAAATGTCTGTTTCACATTTCAAGTCGTGATCTGCTGCATTGGTATAAGTTTTGGTGAAACCTGGTAAAAGAAAGAAAAAAATCAAATTATTAAAAATAATATTTTTAATCACCTCATATACATCTTTGAATTTCTAAACTTGAATGAGACAGACAATAAGCAGCCTTGCCATAAACAGTGCTGTCTTAGTCAATTTCCTCCTTGCTAGGACGTAAAAACCAGCATCCACAACTGAAATGAGGAGAGGTTTACTTTGATTTACATTTACTGTTCATAGTCAGTGAGATCTGGGGCAGAAATGGCATAGCAGAGGAGCACAGCAGAGCAAATCTGCCCGTGGCAAGGCAACCAAGGCAACCATAGTATCAAGAACTATGCAAGGAGCCAAGAGGGAGATACACCCTTCCCCAGTGACTTGCCTCTTCTGAACAGGCTCCTTTTCAATAGACACTTAGCTGCTGAACTTATCAATAGATGATTACACTGATGAGGATGGCACCTCCATGATCCAAAGACCTTCCGTAAGCCCTGCCTCTGTCCATAGAAGGCCGTCAGAGGCATAACAAAGTTTGCTTACAATATTTGCTTATAATAGTTTTCATTCTGAAACACCAAGACACAGCTGGTCTGAGAACATTTGAGTTCTTAGTCATTCTTAACCTTCTTGCATTGCGCCTCCTAAATTAATGATGACTGGGGCTGTCAATAAAAAAGGGGCAGAGCAGGAGCGGAGTGAGACAAGGAAGGGGTCCCGATAGGCGAGGCCTCCACTGGATGTATTACTGCTCTCTGAGATTGGCAACTCTGAGACCTCAGTCAAGGAAGAAGTTTCCAAATCCTCAAAATACAAGATTTGCAACTGATGTAATCTTTCAATTACCGGGAAATGTATTAATGAAAAGACAAATGATCACTGATAAATCTTATCAGAAATTTCAGAAACAGGAGACAAATGAAGTATTAAAATTTAGGTACTTTTTGATGTGGCAATGGGAATGGGCCAAATTAGCACTTTGCTTTTCAGGATAAACAATTAGTATTTTGTAAAATTAATAAATGAATGAATGCATGATTAGATAAACTTCAGGTAACTACAATAAATGTTTTTAAGAATGGTTAAGTCAGTATTAAAAATTAAGAGAGGAGGTAATTGCCTCTGATGATATTTTTGGTTCATGTATAAATAACTGCTGTATTAATTCTTCACAATGTCAAGAGTTAATGACCTTTCTTCCAGTTTTGAACTAAAAATGACTAAGAATAAACCAACATTTTCTACTGAAAGGGTGAATAAAGGCTAACAGTAAAGCTTGGTATACAGTTTAGGATAAATGACAATGCATTAAGTCTTGCCAGTTCCAAGAGCAGACATATAGCAAGAGACAAAGAAATGTTCCATACACATAGACTTTCAAATGTATTAAGAATACAGGACACATCAGCTCTTTGCATTTAAATATGTATGTCTCACAGCCATTTTTTTCATGTTTAACAAAAGAGCATCTGTGTAAATAATTAATTGAAATACAATTATTCTTCTTTAAAAGCAGACCATTTCCAATAGATACCTAGAGCATTTCCTTTAAAAGGAAACTGGACACCTTAATTTTTCAAATGAAACATCTGACCCTTTTCCTTGCCATGTCAGCCCTATTTTGAGCTCTTAATATCATTCATATCATCAATTTAGAAATTAACTTTTATTGGAAAAGGAGACGAAGCTTTATAAAGACTGACTTGGCTTATCTATTTTGTAATGAAAAATGTCTATTAAACCACCACTTCTCATTCTATTCTCCCACAGTCCCATCAGCACTGTAAGTCTGTAAAAGCCAAAGCACATTATCCTGCCAACGTGATCTACAGGTGTAGAGAGTAAGTCAATTGTCTTCTTGTCTTTTCAGCCAACTGATATCCCAATAACACATTGCTTAATTCTGGTATAATGCCAGTTCATCATAAATATTGAGAGGATAAATTTATTGAATGTGGCAAAGAATGTCTGTAGCTAGTTTCTTTTGGAATGTTTTTGTTTAAATATTTGTTGCTGGTAGAGTAGGTGTACTTCTGCTTGAAGAATAAGACCAAGACTTTAGGACATAAAAACTGTACCAGTTAGTTCTATTTTTTTCATATTTCATAGTTCAATATGCACTGGGTATTTAACAATCATAGTAGACCGACAATTTGTGGAAGTTTATTTATTTTACTGTATGATGTTCAAACACTGATTAAATTCATTTTTAATTTTGAGTAAAAACAAAAAATATTGTTTCCAAAAAGGTTTGTAGACAGTTATGGTAAATTTAATATAACTTAAGCATTTATCAGAATTTAAGTGTTTATCAGAAAAGGAAAATAATCAACTGAATTTACTACTCACTGAAAAGGGATATTTTACAGATAATGGAATTTAAGTAATGGAATGTCATCTTTCCCCTTTCTATTTTGGCCTATCAAGTAACACAATGAATAACATAAGTAGAAACAAAATAAAGGAATTTGACATTTTAATTAGCTTGTCACAGATTCACAATGAGGATATGTGATATGAGAAAGAATTATTAGTTGACAAATATTTGGGACTTCTCTCAGTCAGTTTTGAAAACATGCTAAAAAAGAATGCTAGAAGCAATCTCAAGCTTAAAAGCTTTTGCTTGCCACAGGAAACAATCAACAGAAGGAAAAAACAGCCTATAGAATGGGAAGAAATATTTTCAAATCATGTGTCTAACAAGGAGATTAACACCCAGAATATACAAGGAACACCTACAAGCTCACACAAAATGAACAACTTGATTTAAAAGTGAGCAACTGAATAGACAACTCACCAAAGAAGATACATAATTGGCTAAGAGACATATAAAAAGATGCTGAATGTCAGAAAACACAATAGAAAAGCAAATCAAAGCAAAATGAAATAATGATTCTGACTATTAGGGTGGCTACCATTAAAATAACAAGCATTAATGAGGATGTGAAGAAACTGGAATTCTTTGTGCACAGTTATGATGTAAATGTTATAGCCATTGTGGAAAACAACAGAACTTCCTCAAAAAATTAAAACTAGAATTATCATATGATTCAGCAATTCTATTTTTAAATACATACCCCCAAAATTTCAAAGCAGGATATATTTATACAATCATGTTCATAGCATCACTATTCACAATGGCCAACAGGGGAAGTAACCCAAATGTTCATTAACAGATGAAAGCTATAAACACTAATAAAAGAAATTAGAGTGAACACAAAAAGAATGGAATTCACAGATTGAAAGAATCAATATTGTTAAAATGTTCATATTATCAAAGTGATCTACATATTAAGTGCAATTGTTCAAAGAACTTAAAAAATCCTAAAATTCATATAAAATCACAAAAACAAAACAAAAAAGACCTCTAATAGTCAATGTCATGTTGAACAAAAAGTGCAAAACAGGAACCCAACTTGACCAATAGATCAGAGCATAGATACTAAAAGTAAACCCATGAATTTATAGTCAACTGATCTTTGAGCAAAGGTGTTAAGAACATCAATTAGAAAAAGGTCAGTTTTTTCAATAAATTATACTGGAAGAAATATATTTACATATGTTTACATTATATATGAGAGAATGAACCTGACCCCATAAACTGGACTCTCATCCAATTATAAAACTCAATTTGACCTGATTAAAGACGTGTGTTCATGTGTGTGTGTGTGTGTGTGTGTGTGTGTGTGTGTGTGTGTGTGTGTTTATAAGACCTGAAATGATGTATGCAACTACAAGAAGAAAACATGCCTCAGGACATTGAAATAAGCAAGGATTTTTTTTTAAAAAAAAATGTTTGGATAATGCCCAAAGGCAAAGAACACAAAACTGAAGGTAGACAAATGAGAACATAGCAGACAAAAAACCTTCTGCACATCAAAGGAAACAACAGAGTGAAGACATTCTCCCACAGAATGGGAGAAAATATTTGTAAACTATACACCTGAAAAAAGTTTATTACTTAGAATATATACAGAACTAAACTCAATAGGAACAAAGCAAAACAAAATCCTGAATAATCCAAATAGAATAGGCAAGACTTAAATAGACATTTCTCCAAGTAATATATGCAAATGGTTAAAAGGTATATGAAAAATGTTCAAGTACTAGTCAAAGAAATGCAAATCGAAATCAGAATGAGACATCCTCCCATTCGGGTTAGATTGGTTACTCTCAGAAAAACAAAAATAATCAGCCTTTTGGCTAAGATCAAGCATGAAAAGACAAAAGAGAACAAGTGCTTGCAAAAATGTAGAGGAAAAAGAACACCATTTGTGGTAATGTAAATTAGTAAAGCCACTATGGAAAACAGCATGTAGGTACCTCAAAAACTTAGAAAAAAATCAGACATCCAAAGGAAATTGAATCAGTCATGGAAGTATCATCTGCATTCCCATAGTCATAACAGTCAAGAAATGGAAACAAACTAAGAATCCAATGGAAACAAAGTAAGCATCCATCAACTGATGAATAAAGAAAATGGTACATATACACAGTAGAATATTATTTAGCTATAAAAAAGGATTGCTACCATTTAAGAAAACACAGATGAAACTGGAGGTCAATATGTTAAGATAAGCCAGGCACAGAAAGACAAGTTCTGCATAATTTCACTTGTACATGGAATATAAAAAAAAATCTTAATTCTGTAGAAGTTGAGATAGAACTGGAGATAGGGAGAGTAGGGACAAGGGGAAGATAGGAAGAGGTTGATCAATGGATACTGCATTACATTTAGATAGCAGGAAGAGGTTCTTTAACTGTTCTTGCACAGTCAGGTGACTATAGAAAATAATAATGTAATGTTCACTTCAAAAATCTGGAAGAAAGGATTTTGAATGCTTCCACCACAAATAAATAAACAATCAAGGAGACAGATTTGATTACTCTGATTTGAGTATTATACAATGTATATATGTATTGAAACATCACATAGTACCCATAAATACATACAATTTTTAGGTATCAGAAAGAACTAATAATAAAAAGATGGGATGGTATTGGAATCCAAACCATGGAGTTATTTTTCAAACTACGAAGATATGAAAAATGGCACTTTTTATGTGAAAACAAAGCAAGAACATCCTTTTAATTCCTGACTTACTGGCATAACAAAGAATTAGATAATGAGGGTGTTGTTTTTTATTCTCTTTTGCAACAGACAATGGAAAATTCTCAGAAATATTACCTGACAAAGAGAGTAAACTTTTTATATAAAAAAATAACCAAAATAAAGAACAGCTGATAGATTTGATTTTATCACTGGAATAAGAAATCATGGAGTATAAATAACACCCCTCATGCAGGATACTGAAACACTAATTAAATATGTGTTTTTCAAGCAAGACATTATAAGGGGACCTCTTTTTTCCTAAGGGAAATTCAGAAAAGGTTAATAGACAAAGACCTAGGTACAGTAATAGGAACAGTTATTATGTGGATAATGAATTATGCAACAAAATTGTTTTAAAGAAATCTGTTATACACAGATAGGTACAAGCCAGGCACATAGGTATACAGGAAGTTATGTATGAAACTTATGCATGACTTTTCAAATAATTTTTGTTGAATGTTTCTCCAAGGATAGCTACAACATTAATGTATTTTCTTATTACATTTCATTTTAATTAGCAGATTGCATCTTTTAAAACTATCTAAGAATCTAATCTTTCTTCCACTATTTCAGAGATATATTGCTTTTACTTTTAGTTAACCAAGAGGGCTGAGTCATCTGTCATAAATGAGTATCAAACTAAAGGAAGCATCATGTCTCCATGTCTTGTTTACATTTTTGGTTAATCAAGTTTAACCAATAAGACATATACTCAAAGAAGAGGACTGCGTGGCACACCATGGAAATGCCTTAGAGAACAAGCTTGCCCTTCTGTTTCCAGATGCTTCTGTGACTCCTCCCCCATTTTTGACTCCTGAGCCAAGGTCAGGCTGTGAGTCAGAACACTACTCCTGCTCCCATCTTCTCTCTACTGGAGGCTTCTTTCCTTCCACTTCTGTTCACCACAAAGGTCACTTCCCAAAATGATCACAAATTAATGGTTCATGTCTTGAAAACACTCATTCATTGAGCCTGTGATACACACAAGAAGCTGGATTTGCTCACAGAAACACTTACTGCAAAATCACACCCAGTGCTCTTTTTTATGTCATCTACTGTCATGCCTTCCCAGAGCTCAATCAGAGTCAGGCCTTTCTTCTTGTCCACGTCAAACACAGCCTGTGGAGTCAAGGAAATAACAATGACAACTTCCATCACAACAATTATTTAATAGCACAAAAGATTCTGAAAATCAGCAATGAAAAAAAGTCAACTATAACTGTTATAAATAAATGTCAACTCACTCATCAGCAATTAGTTGTGGAACACTGTCGATGCCAGAAAAATAACTGAGTATTGGCTACTGGTGGCAGTTTATTATTACTGCAGTCAATTTTTAAAATCTACTCTCCTTTTCCTAATTCTAACACTTTTGGTGAAATGTCAACAAGGTGATTAAAAATGACTTGAAGAGGAATAAAAAAAAAAGAACAAAGAAAGTGAGGGATCCAGGGGATAACTGAAAAGAGAAACAGTGATGATGAAATATGAAGTTTATAAATGTTACTGAGGGCCAGGATCTAGCTCAGCGGTTCGGTGGCCTGCCTTGCAAGCACAAGGACCCAAGTTCAATCCCCGGTACCAAAAAAAAAAAAAAAAAAAAAAAAATTGCTGCTGGATAAAGAATTATAGGAAACAAAAGTAGGTACTCTGAAGTGTCTGAAAGCAATTAAAAAATAATAGGTGAGCTGGCCCTGAAAGACACATCAACTGATAAAAATTCCCCTTTAAAGTCTAATGCAAACACACAACTCCCAAGGGGAGAAGATAGATTTAGGTCAACTGTGAGGAGGCCAACTTCCCCTTAAACATTCCATTGAGATTCTGGCCCTTTGTCTCAGGTGATGGCAGTGCCAACTGGTATAGCTTGACTATGGAGGAAGGACTTGAAAAGGCATTTAATATCTTGACTCTTTTCTAGTTTTGCCATTAAAACTTAAGGCAACATACTAAGAATGAAAATCAAGCCAGACTCATAGGAGCAAGAAAAATGGGACTTCCTGTTCCATCTGTTGCTCACATTGAATAGTTATCTTTGTGACCACACTTAAAAACAGTAAAAACTCTATAAAAACTTAAGTTAGTGCTTTGACACAGGAAAAAAGTGGTACCGTATTTACTACCAATAGGTTCTCAGGACCCAATGTATTATACCCCATAGAACTGCAAATACTGAGCATGAATCTCATGTGCACTTGATGAAATATTCCTTGCAGTGGGAGACCACAGAAATGACGAGAAAGCAATCTTGACGAATGAAGAACACAGCCCTTTTTAAAACGTGTCAGGTCCTCGGGGGCCCGTGTGTGGTAGCTGTGGGTTAGTTAATACAACAGGTCAACAAGTTTCCTGCTGTAGGTAGAAACTTTGAGAATCATCTCCATCTTAGTTATAACATCTGTGCCCTACTCATCATTAAATCAGGTTAAATTTGTCTCCTAAATCTCATTCAAATCTTTCTTTCTGCTGTGTGAATTAGCATCTTGAATTTTTTGCTTTTACCAGTCGTGGATCCTTCTAACTGGACTCTGTCTCATCACTTCTCCCTCTACCAAAATGCCAGTGTTTAAAAAAAAAAAAAAAAACTAATCAATCATTCCCCTAACTAGTAAAAGTCAAAGAAGGGCTCCCCACTCCCTTTCTGATAAGGACTATATTCCTTAACAATTTATCCATACTTCTTCATTACCCAGCCCCTTGTCTTTTCTACCTTAGCCTTTAGACTCTCAGTGTGCCCTTGTTCCAAATTGCCACTTGCAGGTCCTAGAACAGGCCATGCTTTCCTAACTCCTCTGTGATTTTACCTATTTTCTTCTTTTAACTTGGAAGATCTTTTGGGTTTATTTATTTATTTATTTTTTAACTTATAAAATCCCTGTTTGGCTTTCAAGGCCCACAACTCCATCTATCAGCTTTCTCAACAAGAAAAGTATGGTACATTTATTTAATGAGTATTTATAGAGAATGGGTTAGGCACTGTGTTTAGTGTTGGATTTAGAACTATCAGTGAAACAGGCAGACCTTCAGGGCTATTTCGATACGGTTGTCAGTGCTAAGTTAGGATAAGGACAAGTATTCAGGGAAGCATCCAGAAGACTTATAGAGTGATAATGAATACTTGCCAGAGGGGTGAAAATAACAAATGTTAGCTGAAGTGAAAGATCAGCAGGAATTACCAGATGGATGGGGTGAGAACAATGATTCAGAAGAGATTCAGAACAGGCAAAGTTCCTGAAGAACAAGGTCCAGGGGAGAATGCAACATATCTCAAAGCATCGGCTGAAGTGGAGAATGTCAAGGGAGAAAAAAGAAACTGCGACCTGAGAAAAAAGGGTACAAACTATGCGAGTTTTTGCGAAACATGTCAAAACCTTGCATATGATGTATAGTACTTAAAAGTTTTCTGTGGTACTGTTCCCCAGGCTGCCAGATAGCTTTCCTTTAGGTTCTAACTTAGAATATGGTAAGCATCTCTAGTGTGTCCTCTGTGGTGTTTATTACTCTAAATGCTGGTCATGTTGGATGCTTGAAATCCATCTAACCCTCTGAAGAATGCCTTCCACCTTTTTGTATCCAACTGTTGGGAACAGTCTCCTTCAAAGTGCTTAAAAGTACTTATAAAAAGAGCAAATGAATAAATCAACAACATAGATGGTTAGAAAGGGTACAAAAGCTTTTAAAATGCTAGTAAATATAAATAACAGTGTAACTTGTTGAAGTTAATCTTGCTGGTTAACTTAATTGGCTTGAGACACTAGTAAAGCACACTCCTGAGTGTGTCTGGGTGGCTCATGGAGGCACAGCCCTGAGGATTGTATCTCACACCCGGCTCCCTTCCTCTCTGGGGCTCTTCCTCTGCTCTCTGCTTCCTGGATGCCATGAATTGAACTGATTTCTTCTGCAATGCTCTCCTACCATGATCGTTCTACCTTGACCTCAGACAACCACAGACTGAAGCTTCTGAAACCGTGAGCCAATGAACCCATTTTCTCTTTGAAGTTATACATGTCAGGTATTTGCTACCAGCAACAGAAAGCTGACTAATATAGTCACATCATAAGAAAACATAGGTAGTAAGTGCCAAAGTGAATGGTGGTTCACTCTGAGGGTGAAACTGTTGTCTGCTAAGGTGGTGTAAAACCTCTTTGTGACAAAAGTGGAACCTGCCCGAGGATTGAAGGATAGGTAAAATTTGAAGGGTCACAAAAGGGAGTGGGATGTCTTGTTGGCAAAAGCACTAAACTAGGAATGAGAGAAAGATACACAGGAGACAAGGAGAGGGTAAAGGCTTACACGAAAGAAGATGAAAATCAGACATGGAAAGAATATGGCCAGAATTATCCTTAGCAAGACTACTACTTTAGTTAAGAAAACAAGATCAAGGGCTGTTCTGTCCTATTTCCAAATAAGTAGGTCCTTAAGTCATTAAAATGTCTCCTTCCCACTGACTTACAGGAATTATGACATTCCAACATCCTAACTCAAGTCTGGGATAGAAAGGTAACTGTAGACACTGTCCACAATGCCACTCTGATCTAAGCAGCTTCCATTTGTAACACTGGTCAACACTTTCTACCTCAGAGGAAAAATCTAGAGAGGATCTGAAATGTTAGGCAGAAAGCATACAAGAAACTGTAAACTTAGCTTGTTGTCAAGCCTATACTGCAATTTACACCTGCATGATTAAAACTCAATTTTGACTGAGTTTTCTAACATGAAACCCAACAATTTGTACTCCTGATTTGGAAAGCAAAGAAAAAATAAGAAATATATCTATATCTATATCTATCTATCTATATATCTATCTATCTATCTATCTATATATATATATATATTCCAGTTTAATATCTTAAAGTAGAAGAATCAATAAAATTATTCTCTGATATATCACAGTGTCAAAGTCTCCAAGGATAGTTCCATTTTGTTGTGTATATGTGTATTTCCAGAGAGTTGCACATGAAAAATTCTACATTTAGAAACATTAAATGAATTTTCCTATTTATTCTATCCACAAACTAAATTATTCCTATGACTACTGACATAATTCACTTTCAGAAGGTAATAAAAAATTGTAAAATGTGCTAGATATTAGAGGAAATAAAAGAGAAAGGCACTTTACCTTTTCTGTAATAATGCGGTTGACACATTGCTTTCCAGTCAGTGGTAATGTACATTTTTCCATGATTTTATGTGCATTTCCCTGTTTTAAAGACATTAGAACCATCAAAAATAGTAGTTAAGGAGCAATTCTTATTTAGAACAGGTATAAGTATAGGGCAAATAAAAAAAAATTGTCTTCAAAATACAGATGTTTCAAAATCTTTGCACAGTCATCTTTCTACTTGTTCTAGAGACAGTTTCTGTCCCTGAAATAATTTAGAGGGTGCCAAATGAACAGTCCAAGTTACATATGTTTTATTTGAGAAATGCTATGCTGCATACCTGACCTCTCAAGCCTCTTAATTTGTATAACCTAATGTAAAAATTCACTTCTAATATCCTGCTTATTTTCCCTTCAAGAGAATGATTTTGAAAAATATGACCAAGCCTTTCAAGGAGAGGAAACATATGTTGAACACAAATGTCTAAAAAAATATTAATTTTTTTGTTGCAAAACAGATACACAGAAACAGTGCCTTAACTTCCTTCTTAATAGGAAATACACTTCAATTTTAAAAGCAAATTTCTTCTAATATCCACATTTTAAATATTATGTTCAGCACGCTACTTATTTCTTGAGTAATTAAATTTAGACCTTAATTACTGTTCTCTTGGGGTAGATGAGGATTTAATACTCTTATAAATGTCACCCTAAGCCTGCCTTTATCATTTTCAACTCTTCCAATAAGGACATGTCACACCTGGTAGTTAATTCCATTGTCAGAATTTACATTTTTTTCCTAAGGACTACCACAGTGAAGTAGGGTAGACAGAAGGGTGCTGGTCTCCACAGCTTGCCCCAGTTGTGGCAACAATCTAGAATTGCTAAATAGAAACACTGAATTAAAAAGGACCAAGACACCTGGGGTGGTGGTGCATGCCCATAATTCTATCTACTCGGGAGGTACAGACAGGAAAATTCCAAGTTCCTGGCCAGCCTGGACAATTTAATGAGAATGTCTCAAAAAAAATTTTTTTTACATCACTGTGAGGCTTAATGACTGTGTAAAACTGATCACTGCCGGGACCAATAGTGTAGCATATTATAATTATATTTACTTTTTTATACAGCTCCTTCTACAGTTTTGATGGATTTCAGTTTGCTCCTCAGTAAAATGTGTGAGCTTGTCTAAATGCACATTTCTTTCTGTTTCCTTTGGTCACAGTTCCCTTTCTTCAAAGATAAAAAGGGGATTAATAAAAGAAAACAGGTTTTCACCCACTAAATTCCTCCCTCAGCCCCACCTACCCTGACTATAAAAGTGGCCCTAAAGGCAGATCTGTGGAATACAATCAAAATATTAATTCTGATTATATGATCTTCAGATCATTTTCTTATGACTATGAGTGAGCTACTTTTTAAATTTCACCAGTTTAAACATGAATTTGTTACCTAGTTTATCCCTCTCCCCTGGAATCAGACCAAGTATATTGTCAGATATGAATTTCCGGCAACTAGGTTTAGTTAAGATTTTATTCCTCATAACTTGTCAACTGTAGCATACTAGTAACCTAAACATTCTAGTGTACTTAAGGTGGTGCAAGGCATAAAAGCCATTCAGTAGTTTATGGATGAACGTATTCATCAAAGAATGAATGGGAAAGTGGGAAAGGATACTGGAAATCTTTGATGGATTTTTTAAAATCTAAATTTTAAAATCTATCACTTTAATTTAGTCAAAAGTGGTGATATACATATATATATATATATATATATATATATATATATATATATATATCCTGCATCTTGCCCCACAAGAAAATTTATGTTTAAAAGGAGAACATCACTTTTATTTCATTTTTTATTTTCCATTCAAGATTTCAAATTTTGCACATCACATAACCCAAATAAAAAGCTGAAATTAATGATGAATATTTGAATTTCTACAGTTGTCAGTTCTTCTTACAATTAAAATAATTAAAATAAGGCACGTCACAATGAATTCCAAGGCTGACTTCAAACAAAGAATAATCTAGAGGCCTGTGAAGAACATTTTCTATAGGGAGCTCTTAATTTGTTCTCATTTGAGAGCAAGATCTTCATCTGGTGCGAAAGCAGCCAGTTGGATTTTAATGAACAACCAACTCTATTTTAGGGGGAATCATGAATTTCAACTGACAGTATTAACGGCACCCTACTAACAGAGACCTTTACAGATCATTTTCTGAATACATAATATATCATAGTGCTGAAGAGTGTGGGCTGGAGCTGAAGATCCATGTATAACACTAGCTGTGCAAGATCCATGTACTCGTGATTCCTTATCCACCTTAATTCTCAGGGTCATTCCTCAGCTTAAATGAAATCCAACTGTCCAGCACTCAGTATAGATGTTAGCTGGTATTATTTATATAACTTATGTTTAACATTACTACAACCTAAAATGGAATTCTGTATGAACTTATAAGTTCTTACATAAAATCTGATAGAACTACGCAGAAAATGGCCAAACATAATTCCTGAGATTCACAAAACTAATGAAAACACAACATATATTTGGAGGCAACCATATGGCTTGCCTAGGAAACTGGCACCAAGTGTATTATTGCAGTTAAAACAATGTAGCTAGATGATTCCATTCATATTTAGCTCCAAGACATAACAGAGATCAAAAAATTAAGAAAGAAAATGGAACTCAGAAAATTAAAAATGTCACTGTTTCAACATTCAACAATGAGTTAGCTATGAAGCCACAATATGACTAACTCCCACTTTAGCACTTTATTCTAACCACACTGGGCTGAGCCTCATACTGTACATAGCAGCTGCATATATTAGTGATTCACGAAGGAGGAACAATTGCTGGGTTCTTAATATTTAAAAATAAGTCCTATTAAAGAAAGGCAGTACAGTGTAGCAACAAAGAATACTATAGGAGGAATCCAAAGACCAGGACTTTTCCCTTTAATAGTCCTGTGGTCTCTTAAATCTTAGTTTCTTCTTCAGTTGCCTTCTTCTTACATGATTATTATGAGAATCAGATTAAATGTACTGAAAATAAAATAAAGTAGAGGAGTTTGAATCGATGTACAAAAATCCAGGGTTATAAGGTCTTGTTCATCCTTATTCTGTATCTTTCTTTCCTTCACCAATTAGAAATCTCAGAAAAGGCAGAATAACAATGTGTGTCATTAAAAACTCTTCAACTAGTATTGAGGACTCCTGATTTCAACATGTTGTCATTTTGAATATCATGATAACCTTGGTGAACACCTAAATCCACCTGCTCTATCTTTTCCTTTGCTTGGTCAATACATATAGATTTCACATATGTATTTTCAGTACTTTGTCATTTAGTTGTTAAATGGTTTAAGGTCTTGGTACTTTCTCTTACTTGTTTCATTGTGATCTCTCTTTAATTCTTTAGCTGCCTGAATGGAATTATGGCCCTACATTCTGTGATAATGAGCAGCTCTGGTTAAATAATGATAAATCCCCTTGCTAACATAACAGTGAGTAGTTTCATGTTATCATAGTGAACTCAATCCCAAATAACCAGCTGTGTTTTTGCCATATAGCAGAGTGATTTTTCCATTTGATGTTAACATTTCATTCACCTGAGGCAGCTGAGCATTTAAGATGTTGCTTTATATGAAACCTTATTTTCAAGCTTATCTTTTCTGTTAAGTACTTCCTAATGTGACTGTGGTATTTTTTGCCTTTCAAGCACCTTCTCTGAAAAATCCCTAAGATCAACTACAGAGAAGACACAATTTCTGGAAATTGGTTGTTTCTAAAAGAACTAAGCCTTCACGGTTTTGTTCATGTTTTTTGCTACCTGGAACACACACTATCTCAGATTCTGTCACCTCAAATTCAATCTGCAACATGCTTTTTGTTCTTTAGGACTTGGCTCTGGTATCATCTGCCCTGAGAAATCTTTTCCAATGTATCTATCTAGTGTCTCATTCCCATGACCCTGGTCTTGTTCTTCCTTTTCACGCTACATGGGATGCTGTTATCACTGACCACCCACCACCTAGCAATAGACCCTGAGTTTGCTAAGCACTGTGACCATTCAGCTTTGCAGCTATAGCAATGAGTAGAGCACTGGAAAACCTGAATACTGCATTTCTGATTCAAGCAGTTCTGAGAGCTGGAGCTATAAAGTACCACATGACTAAGTTTCTAGTTCTCACATGTGTACTTGTACATTCCCAGCAACTCGCGCTCACAGGAGAAGCATAGCTAACAGAAGTACATGAAGGGGCTCACAAAACTCTAGAGATAGGTAAAGGAATGAACAAGGAAGAAGCAGGAACACCTCAGTACTGTAGGAGACAATATACAAATTTAAAAGGAGAAACAGAAACAAAGTAAATTACAGTTATTTTACCTCTTCCACCTGCTCATTCCTAATCTTCAAGCATTGTCATAATCTGCTGAAAGGAAGGGCTATAAGGGCAAAATGTGGCAAGGGAATGTTTAACACTTTGCTAAAACAAAGAAGCCAGTGGCAGGGCTCTCTCATAACTTGCTAAAATATCAAAGAATGCCTAACAGTTTCTATCCCTCACTCCTTACTTCCCTCCATCCATCTTAATGCTTAAATCAAGAGGAATATTTTCTACACACACACACACACACACACACACACACACACACACACACACCACATAGATATGAAATACTGGGGAACACTACTACAAAATACATGACTGTCACTTCACCGTGATGATCAGTGTGGTGCAAAGAAAAGAAAAATGGAATGTACTGAAGAAAGAAAACCAAGGTAAACAAAATAACAAGGCAGTGTAAGACTACTCACACAGGATTTATCCTCAGGTGATAAGTTTAGCCTTGATATAGTACCTGCTCTGCAGACTCCAGTGGTCCACACAGAATTTCAGTGGAGAGGCACAGCTAATGTAGAAAACATTTACTACTAGAAATGCCCTTCATATGAAGATGCAGCAAGAGTTTGTGATCACAGGGACAGTTTTCAGGGAAACACTAGGCAAATGAGACACTGGATATAGAAATTATTTCCCTGAAAATAATCTCCATTGACTTGAGATCTTATATCTATTTTATTCAAT